CTGTGTGACAAGACTCAATTTCCATGCCCTGGAATGATCAGATGATCAGATACCTGCATCCCCCATAAGGCTGGGAATGCCAGCATTTTGGTCATCTAAGAGATACACAGCTGACCACATGTCAGTGAAGGTGAAGGCTACCAGAGCAGTGTATCCAGCCTGCAGTCTGTTTCCCGCCCATCTCTTAGCAGCCTCCTGGAGAGAGGATAGCAAGGTATGAACTATGAGTTGACTGAATTCTTCTGCTGGGCCAAATTCAGAATGCAGTGCTTTGACTGGGCTATCTGGAGTAAGAGACTATGAAATAGCTTCAGCACCACTGTAGATAGGTAAGGAATTAATCACCTACGTAAGAAGAAAAGAAAAACTGCAAGTTACCTTTTCAAGAACTAAGATATCCATGTTGACCTTTTCTAGCATCTTGAAAAAAAACAACACTGACACCGGTCAAATATGTGAGTCCTCTGCCTCATGCTGGAAAAAAATAAATAAATAAAGAGTTTGTCCTTGCAAACTTTCACTCCAGCGTCTCTTCAGACTTGCAGAGCTGCACAGGTATATCCAGGTGAGAACTTACTGAGTGAAGCAATGGACCAGGCAACTTAGCATCTCCGTGACACCTTCCTGAGCACTGCTGAGCATGCTCCTGGTTGCATGATTTCCTGTATGGTTGCAGACACCCCTTTTCATTAAGCCTATATCTACCCATATAATCATCTTGAGATGGTCTCTTTCACCCTTCCAGTCACTTGAACATTATCTGGACAGCACTAAACACCTTGTGATGTACTGGTTATCTGGATACGAGGCCTGTGGAACAAAGAACTATTGATGCAAGTTTAAAAAATGAAGACTGATATCTTTGTAACCACTTCTGCAGTCTCTCAGATTTCTGCTTTGAAATAAAGCCAAAAAATCTTAGGCCAGTTCAGCTAAACAGATCAAAGATCTTCAATGTGAACAAGTCAAGATAGTTCTGCATACAACATTAGTCTTTATAGTTACTTTGAGATTTCTGTAGTTTCTGACTAGAGATGTATTTTTGTAATGCAGTGATATGTTGTAATAAGTGTTACAGTGACACCTAGAAAATCAATTTTCTGGACCTCGTTCTGATGGATAAGATCTACAACAAAAAGATCATTTCCCCTGCAAGAGATCCAAAGATTCATTCTAGCCTGACACACTGAGAATACCATGTCATATGCATGCTGTGTTTTCAAAACATGTTATCTAAAAAGTGTTATTTTTCCTTGTCATAGTGAAGAGATCTTAGAATTTTGCTCACTTGTGTCATTCTCACAACCAATAGAAGATGCAGAGAAAACATTTAACTACCTTCTTATACTGTTGATTTTTGAGCTAGCAAACTGAGCTCCAGAGCTGCTTTACAAGTCTCAGAGCTGCCTTGATTTATGCAGACCAAAACATTTCCTTCTGGAACACTGCGCAGGAGAGAGATCAGCAGAGCAATTCATGTTCCAGTCCCCCACTCTCCCTGCTCAGTACCTACCTCAGTCCATCCCTGCATTTCCAGCATGGGACAAAAAAACTTCCACCAAGCTTAAGAAATCTTTGTATATCTAAGAGTGTCCACAGAGACCAATATAGGAGCATGAACTGCAGACACATACCTCCTTCATACTGTTTGTATATGTGAATCGGAGAAAAAAAATGCACTAAGTACTTACACAGGTGGTTTCTTTTTCTTTTCTTTCTTTCTTTCTTTTTTTTTTTTTTTAATTTAGTATTTTAATTCTGTTTTTGGCCAATTTAAATACATCAAGCCGTTGAAAAGAACATAAAATTACTTCTAGCTCTTCCCTAGAGATTCTTTCTTTTGGTTTTGTTTGTTTGGCAAAATAGATCAGTTTTACTTATCAAACCCTTCTGGAGCCAGAAATGTGGACTCAAACTCATCGGCGCTTTTTTCTTTCTTTCTTTTTTTTTTTTTTTAATTATTTTTTCCCTAAGGAAAATTGTCCTTTTCCCTGATATAAAGGTACAATCTAGCTGACGCATCATTGTTGAATCTGAAATTTAAGTGGACACTCAAACAAATAAAAGCCACACCTGCCACAGGCCAGTACCCAAATATATTTGATTATGTTGTTTGCTTATGGAAGGCTGCACTTCTGATGGCCATAGCCAATCTGCAATCTCAGGGTTGTTAAATGGACAATTCAGTTTAGTTGGGCAGCCAATTCTGTGCAGACCTAAGCAGAACATTAAGGCATGATTAACGTGCAGCAGCACTTGTGCATGAGGTAAAGATGCATGCAGCATCTTTACCTGCAACATGCGGCACTGCAGCAAACCACCATGGGAATAAAAGAATAAGATATCAACTGTGGATAAATGTTGCCTCTCTACTCAAAAGAGTTCCCTTCAGCTGCAGAACAAGCATAGTGCTCTAGGGCTGTGTGGCATAGGCTTCACTCACTGACACGAATTTCCTCAGAAATCCCATCTTATTCTCTTTTTTTTTTCACACAAATCTAAGACCAATGTGAAACTTCTTACTTATGATCCAACTTAACTGACTCATAGAGCACTTGACCTCTAATAAAGCAAGGGGCTCATTTCTGAGGAAAATCTGTGATGTTTTAGGTCTCTGTTAGCTAGCAGTAGCAAAAGAAGGCTCAGTTATGACAAAAAGGACCCCTTTTTAGTGCAAATGCAAAATCATCAGGTGTTGCCCTATGCTTCCTTAAATTGCACATTTTGATGTTTGCTATGTATGTCTTTTAAGGTAAAAAAGAGACTCAAAATGTGATTTCTTGGGCTTGAGGGGAAAAGTGACATAGATATTTTATACTGACATGGCTCGTTAAGCTGACACAGAGAGCAAATTCAGTGCCAGTGGAGAATATCCTAGAAGATGACTTGCTGGTTTTAAACAACAGCATCCTGCAGAGAAGATTAATGAGTACACGTAGCTCTGCAGTAGATGTGCAATAACTTCAGTGGGCCCAAGAGGAGCTGATACTATCCTGCCAAAGAGATACATCCCCCTACACTTAGCAAATGTGGGCCAACAGGCCATGTAAGAATTGCCACGTGGGCAGACATCAATCATAACATGCATGTGCCAGTAATTCCAGTCCATTACCCATATATGCAATGCCTTGAGCACAAAATATAACAGATCTACTGCTCATGAGCCCCCAGATTCAGGAGTCTTGGCACCAACTGTCAGGACAGCAATGAAATTACTTTTAAAAAATCTGCCGGCAGTACTTTTTGGGAAAGAAACAACAAAACAGTTTGCAGAAGAGGAGCTGTGAATAGACTCTGGGTGAGTTGATTGATCTCAAGACATTTGATCTTTGCAGAAAACCTAGTGTGCCTGGTACGTCAGGGTGCAGCATGCTGGTGACACACGAGCTGGGCGCAGGCCTCTCTCCTCTCACTGCTGATGCTGATGTGACATCTAGTGGCCAGCACACAGCCTTCCAGCCCAGCGAGTGGCTCCCGCGCAAGCAACCTTAGGCGTTGGCAAGGTCCTGCACATCAGGAGTCTTTTCCTGCCCCATGAGCAGCATGTTGGTAGCTCTTTCTTAAGGAATAAGTAATCTTGAAATGCCAGGGGATAGGTGTAGACCCCCACCCACCTTAATTTCAGCTATAAAAGGATGGACTTCAAGTTAAGCCTTGGCATTAAGGAGATCTATCTTGCAGCTTGCAGATGGTTGAATGACAATACAACTCGGTGCTCAGTAGCAGTCAAGAGAAGCTAGTGAAATGTTAGGAATCATTAGGAACAGAAGAAAGAACAAAGCAAAACCAGTGTTTTGTCACTCCATGTGCAACCTCCCTTGAATGCTTTCTGCTGTTCAGGCTCTTCATCTTAAAAAGCCTGTATTTGATATGGGAATGATTCAGAGGAGAGAAGGAAGGATCATCAGAGGCCTAGAATGGCTGTCATGTGAGGAATGATTGAATAATTGTGATTCTTCACTTTGTGAGAAGGACAGATAAAGTGGAATATGACACAGCTCTACAGACTCCTGAGCAGGTAGGAGAGAGTAACTGCACTGCCTCTTCCAGCACAAGAACCAAGATCCATCAAATAAAGCCAGTGGGAGCCAGGTTCAGACCAAGGAAAAGAAGGAACAGAGCTAGTATTTGAACTACAGAACTTCTTGTTGCCGTGAATGTTAAATGTTTACAAAGGCTGAAGGAGATAGTTCACAAGTTCAGGGAATAGTCCAGTGAGACTCACCAAACAGGTAAGAAACACATCTCAGCCAGAAAGTCATCTGAGCTGAAAATAGCTGGAGAATACTGAGGAAGTACTTAAAGGAAGTGTCTGCTTGTCGTATTTCAGTTCTTCCCAGGACATCTACTTAGGGCCACCAGTTGAAACAGAATGTCAGGCTGGACAGATGCTTGGTATGAACCACCGTGGCCTTGCTTTTGAATTTTCCCACATACTCTGCTTAGAGGGAGTCTTCACGCAGGCAGGCACCTGTGTAATGAGTGCTGCATATCAAGTGGTAACTGCAATTGTCCAGGCTCCCCCCGCCGACTCCTGCATAAGCAAAAGGATGGAAAAACTATCAAAACTGTGATAAGGTAAGAGTCTGTGTTTTGGTAACTGCTGTGGAGCATCTGGCCTGATGTATTTCTCTGAGGAGCAGTGTGAGAGCTTAACAGAGCACTTGGCAGTCTTTGCCCATGCTGCTTTCCCCTCGGAAAGTGATAATAACAACATACAAGTTCTCTTACTTTCTCCATTCCAGTTTTGCCTCCCTCTGGAAATAAGTTCAGCCTCGGCAGCAGGACAGGTAACTATCTCCAAAAGGCTAACCCTTCTGCCATAAGCCAAAGCACCACACTGACCCTCCTGTACAGGGAAACATCAACTTTAATTTTATGTTCAATGCCTTAGACTATCGGAGCTTCTCCATGTTGGGCATCTCCAAGTCCAGGGTCACTCTAAGATTTCTTCCAGTATTTCTCCTACTGAATTTCGCTAGCTGAACTGCTGCTTTGCTTCATTCATACAGGTCTTCTTTCTCTTCCTCCTCCTTCATTTTCTTTTCCACAGGCTTCTGTGCTGGCTTCTTCTCTTTTAAGTGACTAATTGTAAAGAAAGAGATAATTCAGTATTAACCTAGTAAAGAGTGAACCTTCCCTATCTTTGCTATCAGCTGCTGAGAGGACATTGAGGAAATGCTCTGTGGTGGGAATCTGAGGTGGGAACAGTAAGGATGGCAAAGGCCCCAACTCTTCTAACTCTTGTCTGCAAGGTGACTTACCACTGCCACATATGCTACATGGGATTATGGACTAAGAAGCTAGATAAGGAGTAGATATCTACTTTTATTTTATTTCTGTATATGAACTCATGAGTGTTAATGAGGTCAAGTGAAGTCTTTGCTGTGCGTTTGGATTCAACAGTTCCTAATTTACTAACTATTTAATCCCATCTCTGTAATTTGTGCCTAAAGTACATGAGATCCCCTGTAACTTCCTATTCAAGTTTTACCAAGCTTGTGCAGTGTTTGGGCACAGATGCATTTAGCATGCACTAAAGAGTAAGGATCAGATCCAAGGAAGTAATTAGGCTCTTACCTTCTATTTGAAAATATTGGGACACTATGAAGTAAAACACTTAAATTTGCAGAATTGACCTGCTGCTTCGAGCCTTAAATCTAGATTACAATATATATTTTAAAATCAATCAGTATGAATTAGGGGATGGGAATATTTAGGCATGATTAATAGGGCTTTCACATCATAACTGACTGGAAATCTAGGGAGAAATTTGTGGTCCAATGACAAGTGGTTTAGCCTGCAGCAACAGAGAATCTCTGAGGAGTTTGCTGCTGACTGCTCAGACTCTCAGAACTTGGGCGCGATTGCTACAGGCACTAAGAAAGAGGAACTTTCAAGAAAATGAGAGTTCTGTAGTTTGAAGGCAGGTTTCCAGGGAAAACTAGGACTCCTAAGAAGAAGGATCAGAGAAAAAAGAAAAAGGAAAAAAAAAAAAAAAGAGGGGGGGAGAGAGAGACCCTGAGGGTGGAAGGAAAGGTCTGAAGGCATATCTATGCTGTCTTTGCAAATCTCACCCTAGCTTCAGGGTAGGAACAGTGTGGAGATGATTCTTCTCACACAGGCCTATGAGTGTGAATGAAAATGCCATTCAGCTCTGAAATCCATGCACTTTCAGAGCAAGTTTATAAAGAAGAAAATAATAATTACTTCTGTTTTGATTCGGTAGGGCTCCTAAGCATGTATGCATGCTTACCACTCTTCACTTGGGTAAGTAATGTGTAATCATGTTGCCAGACTTGCCAAAAATATGTGCTCCTTCACTTCCTAGATTGAATAAGGATATGTTCTTTTGGTGTTGAAATGAAAAAAAAAAAAAAAGGAAGACAAGGCAGTAAGTGGAGTCACCCACTCACCTGTAGTCCACCAATCCTGTCTGATTCCGGTCTAGCTTCTGCACTAGTTCTGCAATTTGGATTCGATTCAGTGGGATACTTGATTCCTAAAGAGAAAAAGAGGTATCTAGCAAACCTGAGGATTATTTTTGCAGAAAAAGTGCTCTTTATCAGTCTAGGGCATGTTTTAATAGTTGGGCAGATGGCCTGATGCCTGGAAGAAGGGATGGAAAATGGGGGAGGCAATTTCAGTCTTTTAGCATTCAAACAGAAATGCAGTCATAGCTTGCATGACCACTGTTTGTGAGGATGTAAAACGGTGTCATAGATGTCTAACCAGTGCCTACTGATCCCAAGCGTGATAGTTTTGGCAGGAAGAGAATATCTACGCAATGTACAAATGCAAGGGTAAATGTCTGCTTTTCACTTTCCCCACAGCAGTAAGCTATAATTATCTATGAAGGTATATCCTACACAGGTAGCCAGCCTATCTGAGTTTCCAGGGCTCTTGTGCTATACCAAAGTTTATTTATAATCACTGATGCCGCCTGGAGTATTTAGTGGCTGGTAGAGCAGTTTTGTTTGGTCTCCTTCAGGGCTCAGCTTTTGCCATAGGTACATTTAGCCTTCCGGTCTGAAGTGTCTTCACAGCAAGGACGACTGGTGGCCGTGCTGCAGCAGAGGGGTTCCCCCCACAGCACTGCCCTGCTGGAAAGCATCTTGGCTGTGCTTTTAGGGGCACACCTGCATTATGGCTCTCCGGACGTCCGCCACAGGGATCTTCATGTTTCCATCCTTGTCAATATTCCTAAAAAAGTCCCAGAGTTCTAGGTTGTGCTCGTTCAAATAGTTCTAGGGGAAGCAGAGATAAAACAAGGGCATAACCATGAATTGAAGTAGCCACTGGTATCTGCCTCCAACTCTCCTGTTGAGAGACTGTTCTTCTATCTGTCTCCATGCCTTTACTCAGTCCATCACTGAGCTGTCCATGTCTGTAACTTCTTGTGTTGCCTCTCTCTAGTCTAAAGCTAATCTCATCTGTCTAACCCAGAGACAGTTCTTTTCCCCCAGATTTCTGATCACTTTAGTTGTTCTTCTCTGAATTTCCTTCAGTTTGAGTGAGGACATATCTGAGCACCATAACTGCTATTTAAAACTGCAAAGTGTGCTAACAGGATTGGCACTAGCTGTGAATCACAGCTGCACTGTTTGATGTGAGCTAGCAGCACAAGCATTTGCTTAGGTTCCTCTGAAGCCATACCTGCAGAAATGTCCCACCCAATTAGCTAAAAATCTGCACAGCAGCTAGAAAACACAGTGAAGTTTGCAGTGCAGAAGAGGGTTGCCTAACTGAGGAGTGCTGGAGTTGTGTTGACTTCCAGCAAGGGAGGACAGCACCATCTGCTGCTCTCGATAGAAATTACATGTCTTGAAAAAGCTAACTCAGTCTTGAATATTTAGGGCAATAAAATATCATCTGCAACTTTTGTGAAGCACATTTCATTTTGAAACTAAATCACAACTGTCAGGGAAGATTTATGTGTAAGTGGACTTTAAGAAGTGGAAATATATTCATTTGGATCAGACTTGAAAATTAAATTGTTTTACTTAACTAGTAAGCATCCATTCAGATGGAAATCACAGGCACTTAGGATTGAGTTATACTGTCATCTGTGCCACTGCTTTTTTGAAGGCTGTCAAATCATACAATTATGTACATCATGAAGAAGTGAAATTTGTGGATCAGTGATATCATGTAAAGGTTATTATTACTAAGTCACTGATCACATCCATTCAGATCAAACAGCACATCATTTTCCCCCTCAGTGCTCTCACATCCTAAGACATTTGCCTCTGAAAATCAGAGGATTTGCTTAGTCAATTTGCATGGAATGAGATACATGAATGTGAGATAGTCATTGTGAATAGATTTTTCTGAGGTAACTTGACTCAATTTTCTACTTTAAAGAAAATTTACTCCTTCCAACTCCCCATCCCTCCAAGTGTCTGGGACACAGGCAGCTTGTGAGGAGAACTATAGACCCAAATCTCAGACTCACCTGAATCACTTTCATAGGATTTGGATAATGCTCAGGGTTTTTGGAGATATGGCCTCCAACTTCACCATAGGTAACATCTAGTCCAGGATGTTCTTGACACACCAAATCCAACATCTTGATGAAAGTTTCATTCACCAGCACATTCTGGTACGTAGGAGAAAGGAAAGTGCACTCAGTGTGGGCACCCAAAGAACAACAAAAATTTGCTTGTATTAACAAACCCTTAAGTCAACAGTAACTGTTTTCTCCTGAGGATTGTACCTTCGCCCATTTCCACTCTTGATGTTCAGGAAACCCGCAGGGAGCACAGCCTAAATGAGAGTTCTTCTTTCTTGCTTTTTCCCATGACTGAGACAGGAAAGGATCTCCTAATCTATGTGCAAATAAACTTGATGCAAAGTACATTTTTACTGGGCATCTCCTTAATAAGAGTAGTCGTCTCTTTAAGGAGACACAGTGGTCTGCTTAATGGGAATAGTCAACTTCATGGGATTCACCTGAACACATGTACATGTATCCAGAGCAAATAACTACTCTAGAGAGAGCTAAGCAATTTCTTGTATTGCTCTCAGTGAAGAAAATCCAGAATTCTTGGATATGTTTAATTTCATCCAATGAATACAGGGTAAAATAGAGAAGATGGCATATGCTCTGGAAGTGTTTCTTTCTCTTCATTGATTCTAAAAAGAATGTAAGATGCTCAGTTCAGATGCCAGCACCTTCACTGCAGACATCTCACGCCTTCAGGTGACTTAGGTTCTTCCCTGAGACAGTTCTACATGGAGTCCTTCTCCATTCAGCTAAGATGCAGCCTGCAAGTTGAACAGTTAGTGGCCAAAATATGGCAGAGAGCTTTGTAAAAAGTGAAAAGGACTGGTGTCTCCAATAATGTAGCTTCATAGCCCAGAAAGGAAAGATGCACCTGTCTGGGAAGGGTCTGGATGTTGTCAGACAAGAAGAACTCATGGTGCTTTTGATAAAACTCTGCTTCATTGGGACCACAGCACAGGAGATCCTCCCCAAGGCATATCAGCGTGGCTTTCACCCCATGGGACTCCACTGCCAGTGTGGCCTCGGAAGCAGCATAGCCAAAGCACTGTGCTTGGCCTAATAAACCTCTCTGGACTTGGGTGGCACCTGCAGGGAACCAGTTTGGGTGTTTCTGTGTCTACAACAAAGTCAGTCCACTGTGTAGGGAAAACAAACAGGGAAACACAGCTGCAAAGTGACTGTATATTCTATGGTACCGTGGTTTCTAAGATGGGTATGTGCTAGCTATTGTGATTCGTGCCTTGCATAAAGTATCTGCTGCTCTGTAACTGCAGGCTGTAATTCTGTAAAGAGTACACTGTGTAAAAGAATGTGTGGAACAGCTATGCTTAGGTGTGCTGTCAGAAGCAGTAAACTCATAAAAACGCGTCTTGCTCTGGCTTCCCATTTGCTAGTGCTGTCAAACCCATGCAAAGGTTCTAGAAATGATATTAGTTGGAAAATCCTCTTACAGACATGCTAGTTATTCATTCTTTAAAAATCAAGAAGAACATTATCACTGGGAAAAGCAGCAGAAGAGACTTTGGTTAATATCTGCTACAATTTCCTGTTAAAGATTAAAACCTTTGCTAATTTGTTAAGGGTTTAAAACAGCATAAGTTCTTTTGAGATGAACCTTTGCAAAAATTCTTAATCGAAATGCAAGACTCCCCACATTCCAGGTGAAATGAAGTCTGTCAAAGAGATTAGATATTTTCTTATACGTGTTTGATTCAGATTCCAAAATGTCATTGTAAATTTATGCAATTGACCATTTATCTTGTGAAATGCCAAGTAATTTTGAGGGATAAGGAGGATAAAGCATCTTTTAACTCTGAAAGAAGAAATGCATAGTGAGATTTTTGCTTAAACATTTTTTATATTAATTAACTCCATGCCTCAAAATATCTCCTTCAATTTCTACCTTTAAATAAATACATTTCAATAATTTTAATTTATTTATTTAATGAAATAAATACATTTCAATTATTTATTTAATGGAATAAATACATTTCAATAATTTTAATTTCACCAAATTTAGCTAAGATACATTACTCTTTACAAGCTTATGAATTGCTTGGGTTATCATTTATAAAAATGAACAGAACCAAATACACTGTAATGAAGTTCTTTACCCAGAAGTAGCCAGGTTTATTTTTCTCTTGCAAAATGAGGCCTGACTCCTTGTAGCCCTGGCAAGTAATTCTCTTTGATCTTAATCTATGCAGGAAAATTTCTCTGCCCTAGAGGAACACCCATTTTTGAGATATCTCTGTTGAAAGCACTCAGTACTCTCAGAAAAGACCACAGGTGATCATTACTCACTCTGACCTCATTTTTTTTTCAGTCCAATAACCACAAGACAAGGGCACACACACAGATGTACTGATATAGCCCATTATCTTATCCTCCCAGACTGCCCATGAACTACTTTTTTAGCCAGTTGCAAGTGTGAACATCTTCATTTATGTTTCAATTCCAAAATGGGATCTTTGGGAAATATTCCTTCCTTTAATCACGGTGCTCCCAAAGGTGGATGGAGGACATAGAGCCTGCTCACGTGTTCTATAACTCTTCCCAAGGCTGCAGGCCTGGTTTTCCTCCCGTGAAGAACCAACATGTTTGATGGATGGACAGGAGCTGACTGATACACATCTGGGATGCAACCCCAGCCCTCACACAGGAGCTCAGAAACATTTCTGCGTCTGCCATTTTAGAAGTAGCACATGAGGTTAGAACAAAGTGCACTGTGCTCCTGACATGGAGGGAAATGCTTATTAAAACTTGGCCTCCGTGATTTTTTTTTCTTTTTGACTCCCCTTTTAATGTTTTTAAAATAAAATTGCTTTGCTTTCAATTCCCTGAAGTTTCTCTCCTCTCTACTCCTCATACATGCTGACAGAGTATCTAAGCACCAGTATCTAGCACCTTAGGCTCCCCTTCAGGAAGTCATTTCAGGGAAGCTGACAATTCATGCTCCTAGGTGAATTCACTTCTTGTTCTCCTTCTGCTAGTGCAAAATGGATGGGAGAGAAATAAGGTGACACTACAGATACCTCTCTCCAGAGCTAGGCCAAAGTTCTGTAATTTCAACATGGCTCCAAGAAGGGATGTCAAATAGGATCCACTTTTATTAGTGGCCATACAAAAATGAAAAATATGCAAGTCTCGAACGGTTCTGGAAGAAGGCATTTCTGGGATCCAACCAGTCCCTAAAAAAGGTCGAGTGTATAGACTTTGAAGCTCCCAGCAAACAGGCTCTTACTGAGATGTTGATCTCTTCCATCATGGATTTAACGTTCTTTCTGATAGATGTGATTAGTGCAGTGGCACCTTCCACGGTTACAGGATTGTTGGCCAGCTGTGGAAGGAGAGAGACAGACACAGTAAGAATGAGGAATTCACGCCCTGGCAGTGAGCAGGCTGAAATTACAGCGGTGGCCCTTTCTTCCTATTCTTTGGGGGGATTATAGAATAGCTTTGGTTCCCTTCTGTGGATTTGTCTGTTACCTTGGTAGCTTTTGTCTCTGTCCCACAAAACTGCAGGGTTGCTTCACAGTGCAGCTGCCTTCTCAGCCTCCTTTGTCTCCATATGTGTAATTCCATGTGTTGGGTCCCATATACCTGTCAGGTGGGACTATGTGATGGAGGTCCTGTTCAGTCATGTGATGAGGAGAAACGGAGGTGACAGACTGTGTTGGAGGGCTAGACAGGCCTCTGAATGGGACCTCCGATGCTGAGAGGACATCCTGAGGACATTTCCCACAGCCTTTGCCAGCATAGCTGAGCAGTAGAACATGGCTTAGGCTGATCAGCTCTGTCTGACTTGCAAGGTCTAGCTGTGTCTGCCAACTAATGTCTGGCATTATGGGGCTGGCATCATCTGTGTGTATCTCAGTGCATGAATGTCACCTCTCTCCCACCATGCACCTCAGGTGCACTCTCTACTCCTGATATGTGAAAGAAAACATTCTTGATCATCAATGGCCAGCAGAAGTTATTTCCTCTTCTAAGCCCATTGTGTTATCAATTCATAAACTACATAAGTTGCTACCTCCTGTATCACTGAAGAGATATATTAGGATAGTAGGCACAGTGTTCCAGGGGCTGTCTGTAGGACTGTTAGCCCCTTGAGAGGAATGCTGTGGTGTTACATAATACCTCAAGCCAAGTTAAGAACAAGGGAAAAAAACATCTACCAAATCTAAAACAGTAATCCAAAAGAAGCAGCATGGTTATAGCAGTATACAAAGACAGGGATGTCCAAGGACAGGCCCATATGAACTTCAAATCTTTAAAGACTTTAAAGATGCCTCTCACCCAGCATGCTGCCGTTTGCAAGCTCTCAGGATGCTGATGTTAGATCTGAGAATACAGCTCATAACAACCCGACTATCCAGAGGTGAATTCCTGAATGATGGTTTTGGATTGAAAAGATGTGTTAGCTTTGAGCCCTCACCATCTCTGAAGTCAGTTTGGCTGTTCACTCAGTTCTGCCCCCTTCCAGGATTATTAATTCCTAGTTTGCTAGGAAGCAGTTTGTCACTTTTTCCCCATATGTAAATACGTCTTTATTATTTAGGTAATGCTCATATTTTTCCAATTAGGCAATAGCAGTCGATCTTCTGCTTGAATAAACTATTAGCAAGTCATTACCATTGAGAAGGGCACACTGTTTCCCACTTGCAAACTTCAGTGTGAATCCTTGCTTTAGGTTGAAATGCATATTCCATATAAACATGTACATAGACAACTATATTTTATGCAGATATACTGACCAATTAAATAACCTAGACTCTCTGCTAGCGCTTACCTGAGACTAGACATATCAGGAATCAACTGCTTTGGGATGAAATGGGGTTGGGGCTGACTCCATAACAGAGCAATTTAACTACTCTGGAAGAAACCTGCAGCATGGGATTTCTTTCCACTGCTCATCTTCTACACAGAGCAACACGAATTTCCTCAGTTACAGCTCCGAGACCTGACCTCTATCCTCTGTTCCTCCTGACCCAGATCTTTTATTCTCTCTGTTTTTTCCCACAGCCCTGCCTTAGTTAGGACTTTACCTTCAAGACTTTGAGGTTTTCATTGACTTCAAGGCCTTTGCAGAGCTTCTTGGCTCCCTCATTGTCAATTTGGTTGCTGCTGAGATCCAGCTGAACCAGCACATTGTTGACTTTGAGAGCTTCTCCTAGGGCCTTTGCTCCTTCATTCCCAAAGCCGTTCCAAGACAGGTTAAGTACCTTCAGTGTACCGTTGTTCTTCAGAGAGAAGAAAGGGATCTCAGCTACTGCATGCCCACCTAACATACCACTGCACCCTTCCCCTGCCTGGCTCCCTGCAGGAGCATCCCACAAATCACACCCAGCCCAGCTCCTCAGCAATGGCACCAACATTTCTCCATCCACATGAGCCATCAGCCCTCACCAGAACTCACTGCTGTAGCCTTTCTTATAGCACTGACTGCCAGTAGGATGGGCCTTGTCAGAGCTACTGAATCCTGCTCACACCTCAGGAATGTGAGTTCCTGGTAATAATCACTGCAAAGTGTATCACAGAACAGGAAAGTTCTTACCCTGAGACCTGTGCCCAGTGCTATTGCCCCCTTCATACTCAGTTGGTTCCAGCTCAGGTTCAGAAGCTCCAGTGTTTCATTGCTGGCTGGGAGAGAGAAACTTAGACAGCTCATGAGGACTGTAGCTACTCAGTCTGTCCTGTGCAGTGCAACCAAAGAACACAGAATGGGCTGCTGATCACAGGTAAAAAAGGAATGCTTTTTCTTCTGGCTTAATTGAAAAATTAAGGTAAATTCTGGCTTAATTGAAAAATTAATTAACGTAAAGGGGGGAGGGATTTCTTTTAATGATGGACTGCGTTTCTCACTCTGAAAAAATGCCTGGCTTCTCTGTGATATATCGAACCTCCCCCTACAAAACAAGACTTACGCTACTTATGTCTGATTAGCAAAGGAGAGGAGCTCAGCTTCACATCATAGCTGTGTCTGGCTGTGTACACGCCAGTGCCAATTCACATGCACACACTGCATGGTGTAAGTTTTACTTAGAGTAGGATATGTGTGAATTCATTTGTAAATGAGGATTGGAAGGGATAGAACTTGCTGCCAACACTTGCTTCGCATTCTCAGAAATAATTTCTCATCCAGGTTTTCTGTGGATGGGTGTTTGGATGCAAGCAGTTGGCAAGGTAGGCTGACTGCCTTCTCGCTGACACAGATGTTCTGTTGTTTCTCATCTTTGTGTTCTGCTACTGCAGTCACATGTAGTGGCTGGAGTCCCCTGAGGTGATGAGGTTGACCAGGTGGAGCAGTCAGGAGTCTCTAAAACAGGACACTCCATCTTATGCACTACCCACCAAGTCACAGGGTGTTTTTGCTGAGGAAAGAAACAAATGTTGCAGTGCATGGACCCATCCTGTGCCCCAGTGAGTGTGCCTGCACTCCTGGCTTTGGAGGAGTAATAAGTGCATTTACCCAGCATCTGTCCCAGGAGCTGTCCTCCCTTTTCAGAGAACGCATTGTGGCTGAGGTCCAGCTCCTTCACTTGGTAATTGCCCTGCAAAGAGAAAATCATGCAGAGAGAATGAGCTCTTCCAGCCAGCTGCAACCACCTGCCATGTAAGGCCCCTGTGAGAGGATAAAACAGAAGGATTCCAGACGCACTGAAATCTTCAGTGCACAGGAGTTCATCAGCGTGGAGACTGGGGCATTATGTCCCTCCGGACAGTTTGTCAGTGATGTTTATAACATCACAGCAATCCTCTTCCTGAAACAACATAAGAACTGGGACTTCATTTGTGCAGACTTCCCTCCTGCAGCTACCAGATGTCTGGTCTGCAACATATCCTGCGATTCTGTTCCTGTTCCCTATTTCATTCCCACCAGTACACCCTGACCAAGAGTCCTTTCTGTTGTAAGGTCAAGGCCTTGCTCCCTGGCAGGTTCTAGTGATGTCAAACAGTGCAGAGCTTTTGTGATAGGAAGTAATAACAGGAGTCAAGACTCTTCTTTTTGCTAAAGAATGACAGAAAGATATGAAGTGAGATTGCTTAAGTTTTTTGAAATTTCTGTATCACCCAAATGCCTTTCGTCCTGTTGTTCTGTTACGGAGTCTTGAGGATTTGTCTCTCAGCCAGACTCCCACAGCTGTCCTGAGAAAACGCTAATTCAGTGCACCCTCCTTTGTGTCCTCCCAGACTCTCTCATTTCTGAAGTCAGCAAGACACACTTAGCAGAATTATGCCAGGAAATCATCAGTTCACTGCCAAGTGAAATCATGCCAAGCCAATAGCTGTTTCAAGATGAGGAGAGTCTTTTACACAGCCAGAGCAGCAGGTGGTCTTAGATTTCAGGTAACTCACCGTTAGAGCATCAGCGAAGTATGGTGCAGTGTCCTCTCCAAAGTTGTTCCCTGGGGAGGAAAAGTATGTTAACAGTGCCCTGATCTCTCCCTTGACATTGTACGAGGGTCTAGAGGAAGCTGTGCTTTTAGCTGGAACATCCAGTTAGTCATGGTCCATATCAGGTTGTAGGAAGCTAGCTGTTACTAACCCACTTCGATCCTTATAGCAGGATTGCTCCAGTGATTATCTAAGTTTCTTATAAGAGGCAGGTTTTCAGAGGTGTTGGGGGTTTAGATGGCCAAATATTTATTTTATTCACATCAGTATAAATCTAGCTTTCCACACTGTTGCTCTTGGTTCCTGTCAGAGACATATCTGAGGGCTTGATTTTGCCCATAGTCTTACTGATGTTCTCAAAATGAGAGACTGAAAAGAAAACCATGTTTTTTTTTTTTTTTTCACTTCCACTCCCACAACCACTTGGGTGCATGCAGCCCACCTGAGAGCTGAAGAACTTGGAGATAGGACATATTATCCAAAAGCAACCTGGCAATGGCTTCAGCTCCTTCTGTGCCTATGTGGTTATTGGAGATGTTCTGGGAGAAAGCAACAAAGGATAAGAAGGATGAGCCCAAAGAATGTATCCATTTTATTGTCTCCTTAATGTCCAAAATAGAAGAAAATGATACAAGACCAGCAATGCTTGCATTGCCAGCCAGGCAGTAATTAATATTTGAGCTACAGATGTGTTCAACCCCTTGTCCTTTCTAATAGAAGTGAAGCCTTACAGCAATTAGTTTCACATAAAATATTGTCATCAGTGAAACAAGATGTACTTGGTCAATAATCTTTTGTTCTGATGCCACACAAATCCCATGGCCTACCAAAATGCATCTTGTATTACTTACTTTCAGATAGAAGGATTCTTATCTGAAAGTTTTGTACTATTCCCTTAATCTTTTTAGAAAAGTTTCCCTGTATTATATTGGAGAATGAAAGTTCCTAATCAAAACTTTTTTTTTCCATTGGCTAAGCATGACCTAGAAGGACCAGGTTATGGTAATTACTGTCTGATAAAGTATCATCTGCTAATGAAGAAAACAGTTCAAGGAACCCAGCCAGAGGGCTGACTAGACTGCCATCACATGAAAACTTCTGCCTTTTAGGAGCTTGTACTTTTTAAAACTAGAATATAAAATGTCATCATATTCAGAATATGTTTATTTTTGTATGGGGGCAATTGTTATTTGATTAAAACTTGAAATGGAATTGATTTTCATTTATGAAATTTCTCATAAGATTGGCCTTGATGAACAACAATCTTGTTTACAAACTATCTCAGATTGGCTACCAGTTTTTGAAGGCAGCAGTTTTCCCGTAACATCTGTGCTATGCACACAGCTCCTTCTGCCAGAATCCAGTTATCTTCCAGCTCCAGATGAGTGACAGATGCATTGGACTGTGAAGAAACAAATGTTAACGGGACACACAAGAAACTACTGAAAAGTTAATGAAATGGGTAGTATCCTCAGTTCAACAGGGAGACGCTGGATGTTCCCTCTGAGCATGGAAAGCACTGCAGGTCCCAAACAGAACAGAGGCCAGGGGACAGGGCAGAGCTGTGATTGTGGGAGCGGGTGGGCTCTCTCAAGAGAGGGCCACTTTGCTTTAGAGCTCTTGAATGCTGAGGACTTTCCACCACTCTTCACTAACATGGAGACCCAGGGCCATTTCCAAGCTCAGATTCAGGCATCCTGGCCCTGTCTGCTGATGAGAGTAGCACCTCCCCACGTGGTGCTCAGAGTGGAGGATACCAATCCCCATCCTCATCTCTGGCCCTGTTGGGGTTAGGAGTGCTGGCGACCTGTGCTCCATAGAAGAGGATCAGTCTGCTTGAGCAGAGCTACGGTAACTCCAGCAAAGGCCAGCAGCGGCCATGCAAGGCCTTCATGTGCAGGGCATTAGAGCTCCTGTGAGGAAGATATACATGGCTTTTTCTCCCACAGTGTTTACTCAGGAGTGGCCTCCAGGACTGAGAGAAGCCCTAGATGCCTATTGTATTTGATAATAGTGGCTTCACCCTTGCTGGCTACTCACCACCAGAGCAATAGCAATGGCTTTGGCACCTTTGGGTCCTAGACCATGGTGGTTCAGGTTTATATAAGTCTTCGACAAGTTCTGAATGAACTGTGAGACAGGCACCACCTCCAGCAGCCTGCACGCTTCCAGGTACAGCTCTGTGCCTCTAATGACTGCAAAAGCCTTCCCCGGATCTACGGAGACAAAGCATACTGATGAGTGGTGCAGTCAGTGTCCTCCCTCCTCTTCCTATGACTGTTTCTCCCAAGCATTTGATGTCTTCAGAGGGCCACTTGAGTGAGGAAGCGCTGGTAAGCGTAAGCTAGCAGTTCCCTGAAGCAACCAAATATGAGTCCTTGGCTTTTTCTGTACTAAGCTCAGGGTTCGCTCCCAAACCTGTAGCACTTCCTGAAGCTGGAAACTAAGGTGAGGAGCAGAGGAGTTCTTGCCTCAGTATCTGTGATAAGAGAGTTGGGGGCAGCCTGCCAGTTGTCTGCAGTGAATTAAGTGGCCACCTCAACCTTGGCCACATTTTGTGTGGTTGTGATTCATGATTCAAAACCAACTATCAAAAAGCTATGCCAGACTCATGGGTTCAGGCCCTAGGTTAAATTTTGCCTTGTGGAGCTAAGCTGAATAATGTTCTTAAAAGATTATTTCCCTTCTGGTACTCCCCATCCATTTATTCCACACCTCCAAGAGTTAATGTATTCTCCTTGCTTCTCAATTTGGCAATCAGTGACATGCTGTAGCTTCTCACCAGTCTGCTATGTGACTAAATCTTTCTGGCTATAATTGAGAATTTCTGACATCAGGGAAAAAAATTGCCTTTTTTTTAATTTTAATTGAAGCATGCAGCTGATATTGCTAGAGGAACCAGGACAGCTCAGCACATTTTGGCTTCCAGCCAGCAGGAAGAATCCCAGCATTCTCATCTTGGCCATTGGGTGGTGTTGACACAGCTGCAATGAGACATATCAGTGCAGCTGGCGGCTGCATTTCCACAAAAACCTGTCATTTGGAATTCCTTCATCAAATCCCATATTTAGAGGTCATATTTCTTCATATTGTTATATGCATCCAATGGCCTGACCTAAAAACAAATTCCCCTCTCACCAAAGCCATTTTTCCAGTTCAATTTGAGGCCTCACAATTTTTTTTTTCTTGCATTCTTCTGTTTTTTGATTTTCCTTCCACTTATATTCAAAAGTGCTCATTGTAAGTTTTGGACAAGTCTGCTATTTACAAAAAAGGGAGCAAGACTTGTTTAACCAGTAAACTGACCCTGTTAAGCATAAGAATCACCAGAAAAGTCTAGAATAGTAATGGCAAGTCTATGGCACGCAGACCACAATCTTATCTTGGCTTCAGCTAACTGCTCTTGCTGTCCTGACTGCAGGCTGATCTGGTAATGTTGGTTATCAAGGACGAAAGAAGGCATAAAGGAGCAGAAGAATAGCCATGGTCTATGGAAGGCAGCAGGGGGACATGCTGGCCTATGATGTGGAAGATGTTTCACATCAAATGGAGAGCTCTTACAGGGAAATTCATCCTCCCACCTTTATCAACTGCCAGATTAAGTGTGGATGACAGGAAGTATCCTGGTAGGGTTGCATCCTTGACCTCTATTTCTGATATATACCTGTTGGTGGGTACAGTATTAATTGTAATGGGAAGGACTGGTGAGGATGGATGGCCAGAAAACACTTGCCTTCAATCTCTAGATCAGTCTCAGAATCTGATGTGGCCTTCTCTGCTGAGACATCAGCAAGTGACAAAGATTCTGGGGAATCGCTGATCTCTGACACTTCTTCATTCTGGTCTGCCATGAAATTGAACAGATTCATTTGGTCAAAGCAAGCCCAGCTCATATGTGACACCCTGTAGCTGACAGAACATCCCACTGCTCCCACTGAAGTCACCCCCTCCCTGGCTTGCTCCAGGAGCTTTCCTTCCCAGCCCACTCTGTGTGTGCCATTTGCTGTGCGTCGCATTCACATGGTACTGGCTCTGGTGCAGAGATGTTCTCACTCTGGGGCTAGAAATCTGCAGCCAAGCTGGGGTTTGATAACTTTTGGAATTAGCTCTCCCCAGATTCTTCAGCCTGCAAGGAGGGCTGAGAAAGCTGGGCCTGTTCAGCCTGGAGAAGGCTGAGAGGGGATCAGATCACTGTCCATAAATACCTTAAGGGAGGCATTGAGGAGGATGGGGCCGGCTATTTTCAGTGGTGGCCACCAACAGGAGTAGGGGAAATGGCCACAAACTGAAGCACCAAAAGTTCCACAGGAACTTAAGGAAAAATTTCCTAACAGTGAGGGTGACAGAGCACTGGAACAGGCTGCCCACAGAGGTTGTGGAGTCTCCTTCTCTGGAGATCTTCAAAACCCGCTTGGATGCAGTCCTGTGCCACGTGCCCTAGGTGACCCTGCGTGTGCAGGGGGGTTGGACTAGGTGATCTCTAGAGGTCCCTTCCAACCCTAAGCATTCTATGATTCTATGATTCATAACTAATAACTCTCAGTGCATATTAAGAGACTCTCAATTGCTTTTTATCTTCTTTACTTAAGAAACCCAAACTTTGAAACTAATTAAGGTAAATAGCTAATCCCCATCCCACTGTGACTAATGTGAAATTTTAGCCAAATGTGAAATTTCAGGAGGGAACAGCGTAAGAATTGCTATGCTAGGCTAGGACCCCAGGCCAGGATGCTGTGGGCAGCCCTAGGCCCTGGCCGTGCCGCGCAGAAGCCCGGCAGGATGTGGGTGAGCTCAGGAGCTCCCTGCCCGCGGGCCCCAGCCGTGGGGCTACGGAGGGCAGGGGTAGGGGCGACCCTGGGGAGCTCCCTGCTCCTGTCCCACGCGCGGGATGTGTAGTGGAGAGCCCCCGTGTCCCCTCAGTGGGGTCTCACTGCTACCTCTCCTGGGGAAGGGGAGTCCTCCACAGGGGAAGACACCCCATAGCAACATCAGCCCCTCTTGGCATCCACCTGCCTCTTTGCGACCACTTCTGGAACAAAATTTGTTAGCAGCTAAACACCACACCTGTGTCCTTCTCAGCCTGATTCTCCATCGCTACGTGTCCTTGGCAGCACCAGCAAGCTGTGTGTTTTTTTCTCTTCTGCAAATGAGTCACCTCTTAGACCCTGTAATTTTCTCACACGTACACACTGAAAGTGCAGCCGCTCAGCTGTAATTAAAAATCCCCAGGAAGAAGAATGCCATTGGTAAGACCTATGGTCTGGATATTAGTGTTTACGACCAGAAAGGTCCCATTTCCCTTTCACGGGGGCTGGCTGGCTGTTAGGAGAACCTTCTGTGAAGGCTCCGTAGGCATTCTGTGACCTTGCCTGGACATTGTGACCCGGAAGAGAACCTCGTTGCGTTGGTGACCAGCGTTGTATCATCTGGGGCTTGGATTGCATCAGCTCTCATCTGAGAAGAGAACAGATCAGATTTTGGGCGTGAGACCCCCAAATGTACCAGAGAGTAGTACCAGTCTTCTGGTAAGAGTTTCCCTTTCCTTTGAATTAGCGTTCCGGACTGTACAATTTCATACAAAAAAGGCAAACCTGAGCATTTGTAGTCTTGAGAGAGATTAGGACAAAATGAGTGTATTAGCCTTCTGTCCTGTACAGATTCAGACTTGTCTGCTGCCAAATTCCCTTTACAATGTGTAATAAAGTGTGGCTTGTAAATGTGTCAGCACTTAATAGTGCCTTGAATCAAGTACTCATTCATCCTAGCAACTAATGTTGGTGCCAAAGTTGGCTGACTGCTTATTATTTTTGTATGGCTTACATAGAGGACTCAATGACCTTTCCTAGGAGGCTAAAACATTGTAATAAAGAAGTTTTTTTTTTGATAAAGGTTGAGCAGAACTAACACTTACATACACTTTTTTTTTTTTTTAGTTCTAGGAGAATTTTAATTCTAGGACATTGTGTGAAGATAATTGCTTTTATTTGAAATGTATATAACTTACAATGAAGTGTGTGGTATACAGAAAGGAAGCAAAAGTCCAGCTCCCCAAGGACAGGGTATCTTCAGTGGTTTTATATCCTTAGGTTCTGCAGAAATCTCTCAACCAGTTCAGTCCTTAGAGGCCATGATAAGGTCGTATCTGGACATAGAATAAAATGTTGCATAAACCAGTGGAAGTTTTGACCCTGAAGCAGATGACCATTGTCAGCTTTGATTTTATTGCCAAAGTTTGTGGGTTTTTTTTTTTTTCCCCTAATATAGGCCGAACAATTGTGGCATCCCAGTTATTTGCTTCCTTATGGTTAACATTTCTCTCCAATTTCAATCTGATTATCCTGATGTGAGTTGAGTCTTAGATATTTTCTTAGGTCTTTCTTCTCGAACAACAGCCTTGTTTTAAATTCCCTAGTCGCTAGCCCTTACTGTAGCAGCTTCTTCCTCTGGAGAACAGCTGCTGTCATCCTCCCTTTTCATCAGAAACCAAAGATGGTCTGCAGCAGTCAGCAGACTGCAGCAAGAGAGGGGAGACCATGGTCCAGCTCTGTGCTTTGCCAAAGTTGATTGTGGGATTTGAAACAGGTCACTGTGTCTCGTTCTCTGTTTCCCCATCTGAAACATGGATCCAAGTCATAAAAAGCAGAAATAAAAAAGTGCTCAGATGCCATTGCATTATGATACATGTAAAAGTTTTAATATGAGTATTGAAAACTCTGCTCTGTAGGTTTGAAAAGGATAAAGTATTATTTTACTGCTTTGAAAATACCCTACAGAGCACTGTCTTGTAAGTTAGTGAAGTTCTGGCTAATCATGATTAATACTATTTTAGGAATAGAGATTTTAGAATTGTACTAGAAGGATTATTATTTATTCATATTATAATACCAGCTCAGATTCCTAGTCATGGAGACTCATGGTGCTTGTCAGCATAAAAAAGGCAGGACAAAGAGGCAGGCACATCCTCAAAAAGTTATAGTCTTGACAACAGATGGTGACTGCCAAGGGAGCAACACAGCAGGCAGGCACATAGGCATGGTTTTCCCTGTCTTGTTGACTTCATTGCAAATGCCCATCTTTTAGACAGCCTGAAGGAATCATCTTCCCGGTGTGCATAGGGAGTCTTTCCTGAGCAGAAGGGGCAGCACAGGAGATAATACAGAGCTCCTGCTTCAAAATACAAGACGGTAATTCTGACCTGAAGCAGAAATCAACCTCTAATGACAAGCAAGAGGTGATAAGCAGGATGGATATGGGATTAAAAAGCTCACCAGCAGATGGTAGAGTGATAAAAGTTCATCACACTTCAGTTGAATGTGTTTTACAGTTTTGTATATTGCTGTAATACATTAAAAGGGTGCCTTTGGCATTAAGAGCCATATTGGTGCTCAGTTTGATCTGAGCCATTTAGATGTTATTATACACATTCAAATTTGGAATGGAGCAAATAGTTAAAACCCCAGACTTCAGCCAGGACTTCTCATTACATATGAAACTCTCAGGTTTCAGCATGTGATAGGTCTCAACTTTCCCAGGCCGCAGGACACTCCCGGCTGGGACTGCAATGGAAGTAGCAAAGGGGAACGTGCTCCTGCCCTGCTCATTTAACGCTCTTTTGATGGGTTTATTCACACGCATGCTGCACTCTGAAGAACCCCAGATCGTCGTGAGCACTGTTTGCAAAGCCCACAACGTACTGTAATATTAACTTTTAATGAACAAATGGGGCCTAATTTGGTACGTGTAACAGCACTGGATTACTTCCCTGTCTGCCGTGTTTCGAGTTTTGTTCGGAATCTCACCGCGGCACTGGCAGGGGCTGCCGGCCGGCCCGGCGGTGCCG